AATACTAACCTCCTGTTATTTATCCAGCTGACTGCGGAATAAAATATTTTACTTATGTGAAATTTTCCAACAGCTCCATCTTGTCATAGATGGGATAAAAATTATTTTAAGCATAATAAAGTACATAATATTGGTCCTTTTTTGTAGGCAAAGCCATCAATGCCTTTAGGTGATCAAGAATTTCACTATCTGTATCTGTCTTTCTGAGAACAGCATGTTACGTGTATACACGCAAGATTCTGTCTACAGCATATATGCATACCTGTATTTTTTTCTGGCTCTTCTCACTTCTCATCTCATGTTTCTGAGATTCATCTATGCTTTTTGTGGGTAGTAACTATTTACTTTTTTCATATCACCAAGTAGTATTCCACTGATAAGAATATGTAATAAATTGTTTATTCAGTGATGCACACTTCTGATGCTTTCAGATGTGGACTCTGATAATGTTGTAATCAACTCTGATGTACAAGTATTTGTATGAATATTTCACTTCAACTAGAAAATACCTAAAGGTGGTGCTGCTAGGATATAAAGTAGTTGTACATTTAATATTCTAAGAAACTGACAACACTAACCCAAATGGTATTTTCATTTAATTTCAGTTATTTCCTCAATAACTAATGACCACATTCTGTGTGTTCACATGCCACCTTTTTAAAAAAAAACTAATCCTACATTACTTTAGTATCTTGTTCATTATAGTAATTAATATTCTGAAAACTTAGCAATACCAAAATGTTTTCATTTCAGTAGAATAAGCCAGGCAAGTGCTTATTCTACTGAGCCATCTCCCCAGCCCCAACCACTGTTAATCTTGCCATACTGAACATACAGGTTTTGTGTCTTACAATAGGTTTATGAGGCCAGACCTTGAACTAGGCTCAAGTATCTCCCAGTCTCAGATGCTGGTGTAGCTGGGACTGTAAGTACGCACCACTACATCTCTGTGTATTTTCTTTTGTTAAATGCATCTTCGTCCATTACAAGTTTTTGTCTTTTTATTAATCTACAAATTTTAAAAAATATAATACATATATATCACTGTCTCAATAGTTTGCCTTGCATGTAGGTTATCTTTTCATTTTCTTATTGCTATCTCTAGAAGGACAAAAGATTTTAGCTTCCATGCAGTCAAATTTATGTTTTGGGTTTTTTTGTTCACCTTAGAATACTTCTGGCAGCTATTAGCTCTAAGCTCCCAACCACCTCCTGGAAGCTGTCTGTCTTCTTTGTTTTCCACCTTTCCCCTCCAAATAAACCATCTTTCATTATACTAAAATTTAAAACCATCTGCATATATCAAGATTTTCTAAGCTCTTTCTAACTTTCACATTTATGCATATGATTCAGTGAAAGTATTTATGGGCTGGAGTATAATTCAAGGTTAATTTTCTGCCACATAGATATGCAGCTGATCAATAGTATTTGCTGAAAGAATTTCCCCTTCCTCTGATGAAGTCCCTTAGCACTGTTGTTAAAGACCAGATGACTACCTGGGTCAGTCTACTGCTGCAGTCTCTGGTGTTGAAAGGATCTGTTTGCCTTTAATGAATACCACACTATCTTAACTACTACAGTTTTACAACTAAGTCTTGAAGTCAGGTTATATAAGGTAGCCAAGTTTGTCCTTTTCCAAATTATTTTGGCTATTATAAAGCTGCTATATTTCCTAACTTTGGAATGACCTTATTTTCTACAAAAAAGTTCTGTGGGGCTGTTGATTGTGCTGAATATACTGATCAGTTTGGAGAGAAATGACATTTTAACAATGCTGAGTCTTCCAATACATATCTCCATTTACTGAGACTGGCTTTAATTTTTATGGGCAGGTTTTTAGAATAGTTTTATATTTGGTTATATTTGATCATACACATGTATTTAGTATATATAAATATGATGGAGTATTACTCAGCCTTCAAAAGGAAGGAAATGGTGAAATGCTGCAGAATGTACAAAAGAAGTGGCAACAAAAAGACAAGTAATAATTTCATTTTTTAAGAAATTTCAAGTACAATCAGATTTACACAAAGAATAGTTTTTTGAGGGGCTGGGAAAATATAAGGAATTATTAAATTGGTAAAGCGTTACTGTTTTACAAGATGAAAAATTTCTAGTGATAATGTAATTTTACTTAATATTACTGAGCTACACACTTGAAAATAATTAATATGGTAAATGTTATACATAACAAAAAAGAATTCCTGACATACTTTTAAGCCCAAACACAGGTAACAGCACTAAGAACTCAGTTCTTAAAAGGCTGGACTTTGTACCAACTCATCACAAAAGTGAGATTTCACCAATTTCCCTGCAGTAGCGCTCTTCCTCAGCCCGATGATGTCACCTAACCCATAAGCAAATAAGTGGCTGCAGCCTTGTGCTGCATGAAGTCTGAGCTGTTTTGTCTGTGCTACATGACTTTCAAACATGTTGACAGTGCTGTATGAAAGCACAGAACAGTTCAATACCCATTTAATGTTCACTGCAATAGCAAAGGAAAGAGCCTAACCTCCAATTCTTTTTCATCAAAGTACTGCAGCCACTGAAGGGGAACAACTTCATTAAAACCATCAAGGAACGCTTTAGTCTGTTCTTGTACTCCTCGAGAAAAACGCCATTCTGTCATTAAACTGAAAAGAAAAATACTATTTTAAAATAGGTCATTTGTATGTGAAGTTAAAGCGCTAAAAGCATTAAGCACTTCTAAATTCCTTTCTTTTTCTAAATATACCACATGTATATAAATATACATACATGTCTATGCACACGTAATTTAATAAGCTTCTCTATAAGGAAATCAGTTCTAGCACATCAGCAGCTTCTAAAAATTTTACAGAATAAACACATGAGATCCTTTCCTCATCAGTAAGGAAGCCAAATTCCAGCACAAGTCATGTTTTGTTATACGAAGACCATGCCAAATAGCATGTGCTGACACAGGAAAGGAATGGCTCATCACTTAAAAGGTTCTTTCCACCATCTATCTGCAAGAAGCCTTGGGGAGCCTGCCTCAACGGGCTATCTCGGGACATGTGATGGTGCTCTGTGCATAGGCTGCATGCTTTGTACAGGCTTATCATTTGAGGAGATTAAGTCTAGGTAGCAGGCTTTTTATGTGCTGATTTGCTGAACAACATGAAGATCTCCTGGGAAAAATAGAAAAAATCAATGAAGATGGAAATAAGACATTCTGAAGAAAAAGCAACTATAGTGTAAGGAGTAAGATAAAAAATAAGATCAGGAGGTTCAGACAAGAACTCGAATTTGAGGCCAGCCTGCATGGTACACAGCAAGACCTCAAACAAATAAGGAAAAACATATGTCAGCAACACAGAATTTATGTCAGAAGCTTCTAAAAGGATATGGGTGCAGAGAGCACTGCCTAGAGAAACCACCACTGCCCGCTGATGAGAGGGAAAGGAAACTACTCGCCACCTCCACTTTCTCACCTGTCATTCAACCAAATGTTAAACCAGGGCAGTTTGGCTTTGGAAATCTCTTTCCCACAATAAAAACAAACAAACATTCTTCATGAATGTCACAAAGGAATTTCTAATTGTGAAGTGAGACACCCTCTTTTCAGTGTTCAGGTCACATACAGTCCCCCAGCTCTGGCCAGGAGCACTGCCAGCTCACTCTCCTGCCATTCCTGATGGATGGCTCTGCTGAATCCTCATCAGCTCCAGTGGTTCACTGCTCTGTCACTGCTCATGTTATTTATGCCCCACCTTCATTTCTCCTTCAGGCAGGGACCTGCTCTCTAAAACTGGCATTTTAAAGTATGAAGGTTTCAACTACATAAGAATGTAAGAATGTAAACATGACTGAATTCCTAAATTCTCAGGTCATTTCGTCTTGAGATAAAGATATTTATAAGCCATCACTCCTTGGACATTTTGCTGCAACAGTTCAACTATCACAGCTTTCAATTTACTTCCGACCTGTCTCCCAATCCATGCAAGTACTGCAAGCAATCACTGAAGCCTGTACAGTTCTCTTCTGTAATCCCCTCATTTTTATCTTGATGGCACGAGTCCTATTCAGGCCTGTGATACTTCACTATTACATTTTGGAAGCAACATCCTCAGCAATCTGCTGCTCACAAGTCACTCCATCCTCCAGCCAGTGTCCCCAATTCACTCTCCACACATGCCAGGATTACCTTTTGGAGAACAGCTGTGATCACTTCGTGTTCACAACTTATGATAGTTATAATTATAAGCAAAACCCACATCTCTTAGAATAATTATGTCAAGTTACAGAGAAATTACATTAACTGGGCTGCTATTTTATGCTAACTTGCCTCCACTTCTCAGCAGCTTACCACATTGCTGCAGCACTGCAGCTGCCCGAGATAAATCAATCCCTCCGTCCTCTGAATGCATCCCACATCCCTCCTGCTGCTTGCTAGTTCCCCAGAAGACTCCACCAGGAGAGGGTTTATGCATCTTTTAAGACCTAACACACACCATGTTTATGAAGAGCTTCTGAAACTCATGCCAGAAAACCAAAAGCTCCTTTCCCACTCTGGATTCCAGAAGTTCTAGCTGCATAACCCTACTGCTCATTTGGTGAGGGTCTGGTTTGTACACCAAAAATGATGAATCATAAAATTATGTGATAATACAAAAGAATATTATCACATAATATTCAAGAATCAGATTTAAAAAATAAACTGTTACTACTTGAGACTGAAACAAAATCCTACAAAAACTGTATTAAGGATTACAGAGTAGGTGCTACACAGATAACATTTTAAAACTCAGTACTTACCACAATGCACAAATTTCAAGGTGGCAAATACTATAAACCATATATGCTGAAATTATATTTAAACGGATTTTGTTAACTGAAATTATTTACAGCATTCAAAAAAATACTCGGGTTATTCTATTTAATGATTACTGTTGGTCTCTGTATAAAGGCATAAGGAATACAGAAAGTACGTCTTCCTTTCAGGAAACTAGCTGCAGCTGCCCTGCATCCAGAGGGGCAGCCAAGAATGGCCAGGGAGGGTCTTCCCACCTAATCTGGCATCTGGTCAGCCCGCTCCAGGGCTCGGGAGCCTGTGCCTACCCCCTTCTAAGTCAGCAGAGAACTACTATGTAATACTCATTTTCTACATCCATGAGCCATGCAGGTTGAGTTGGGAGTGGCCAGAGTGCAAGCTGACCTGCCTGGCCCTGTCCAAGGTCTGCTCAGGTATCTGGGGGACAGGGTACTGCATTCCCGACCTTCATATCCATGCTAGGCATTGTTGGTTGCATTTAGTGTTTTTATCTTCTGGAGGGCGGGGGTACTGGGAATTGAACTCAGAACCTCCCACTTGTCAGGAAGGTGCTATGACAGTGAGCTAAATCCCTGGTGCCTACTGTTTTTCATAAAAGAAAACAAAAACAAAGTATCATCTAGCTTGCTTCTCTGTTCTTGAAGAATACATGAGTGTCTAGGGGCCATCTGGGTAGAGACTAGAACAATTCTCAGCCAGCCCCTCTTTCACCCCAAGTCTTATAAGTTGTCTCAGTCTGATGGCCCGGCAGGGATGACATCATCTTTCTAGTCCTGTGCTCGCCTACCTGTGGACTGGCCTTTCCAAAGATGGGGTTTGGTGGGAGTGGAGGGGTGCTGTCTGGCCTACCCCTACACCCTATTTCTCATGCATCTGGGGTTCTCTGCCTTTTTATATTAAAAGAACAAAAGCACCTTGCCCTGCCACAAGAATCTATGGCCAATGAACTCCAGAATGCTGGCCATAATATGAGCAGCTATGGTCATTTCTAGTAAGAGCAATAAAAAGCACAACAAAACAAAAATGCCTCAGGATAGTAGAAAGATATAGGAAAAAGAAAATCAGTTGTAATTTCTGTTATCCAGAGATAACAATATAGCTAAAAACCAAAATTGGGTGTAAGTGGCCTGTAATACCATGCGAAGAAGCTGGACTTGATAGTCAAGACCCTGAGGATGTAAAAGCTCAATCTCTGTAGCAGTTTACAAATTGAGAAGGAAAAACAGGGTGGTTATAACTTTGTGGCAAGCAACACAGTCCTCTAAGCCAGTAACTCTGCTTTGACTATCTCTTGCAAAAAGACAAGAAATACTTTGCTACTAACAGAAAGTATGGACTTCTGCTCACGGGGACACTCTGGGAGACACTGCCTTTAGAGGGTACTTTAATAGAAAACTGAAGCAGTGGTAGCAGAGTATTTAGAGAAGAAAGCTGAACCAAGAGCCTTGGAAAAACACCTATGTTGAAAAAACGGAGGTTTAGAGAACTAAAGAGAAAATGAAAAAAGTCAGGATGGCATGGATCATGGAATCAAAATAACACAAGTTCAAACAGATGTGATAAGCACCAGTGAGTGTAAGTTAAAACTAGGAAAGTGGCATCAAATGCTGATGAGTCTTAGACTTGAGTTAAAGCTTGGTCTCTGATTTGGTTTTGGTTCTACCTAACAGAACCTCAGCCTAAAAGTGAAGCAGCTACACAGTTTTGGCAGCATCAGGTTTCTTGTATCTGGGCTGGGAAAAAGTGAAACGCCTAAGAGGTGGTGAGAAAGTAAAGACTGTTGTGTATCATGTTACTTCAAAGACTGGTACTATTGACAAGGACAAGATTAAGGGTTCAGAGTACTCATAATGAATGTATAACCTTACCCTATATATTCATCTTTATTCTCCTCAGTCACCAGGATATTAGAACCTCCCAACTTCAGGTCATGTGAAGTAACCTTTCCCAAAATCTCCATGTCAACAGAGAAATACATTTCTAAGCCACATTCTTCAATGTTGTTATCTCTGGGTTGAGAAAAACAAACACACATACACACACATATGTATATATACATATATATATATATAGTACGCACACACATACATAACAAAAGATATAAATGGGTTTCAAGAAAATGACTTATTGAAAAAATAAATCTTCAAACCTTATCCAGATAAGGGAGTTATAAAATTCAGTATCAATGGATTCCAAATCCTTAATAGTAAGCTTTTTACTTAGCATGCGTTTGTAGAATGGTAAAGAGAAACCAGTATCAATAAATTTTCCATGAAATAGTGCCTGTCAGGAAAAACAAAAAAGTTTATTTAATATTTATAAAATGAAAATTTTCTTTTTTTTTTTTTTTTTTTTTGTGGAACCGGGGATTGAACTCAGGCCCTTGCACTCACCAGAGAAGCACTTATTCCACTGAGCCATCTCCCCAACCCCAGAAGTGAAAATTTTGTGAGTTACCTAAAATCTTTAAGTAATGAAGTATGAGAAGTATAGCATGTGGGCTGGGGAGGCAGGTCAGTAGAGTAAGCACCTGCCTGGCAAGCGCAAGGTCTTTTTTCTTTTTTGGCGGAACCAGGGATTGAACTCAGGCCCTTGCACTTGCCAATCCCCGAAAATATTTTTATATAAGCCATCCATTTTTTTTTCCTCATTGATTGTCTGTATGAGTGGTACTGAGAAGTGATGGTTAATAAGGCTGTAAGTATCTAACATGACTTTCCTAATTCTTGGGCTGATTTTTTTTTTTTTTTTGTGGTACTAGGGATTGAACTCAGGACCTTGTACTTGCCAGGCAGGCGTTTATTCTACTGAGCTATCTCCCTAGCCCAAGGCCGAATTTTTTTGTGGGTGGTTAATTTTGGTT